GGTTTCTCCGTCAAGCCAGGCGCGGTTGTTTTGAGCTTAGCGGACAGGCAAATGCAACGAATGACTAATGCTGCGTTCACACCGCAGCTGGCGCGACAGAAGCAGCGAGTTTACATGCAAAGTCAATGGTTGACGTGCGTCAAGGCGCAGCAAAAGGTCCCGCGGCGCGTTTTGAGCAGCAGGCGCAGCGCGTCTGAGCAGCTGAAGCAGCACGTCAGGCGCGTTTAATCATCTGACGCAGGGAGAGAGACACAGCGCTGATGATCACTCCTCTTAAACAGTTTATTGACGCCTAAATTAACTTAAAATGCAGAAATCTGCCGGCAGAATATGCAGTTTGGATTATTTAGATGAAAAACACCTACCAGCTGCCGCGGTGAACCGCGAGGAGGTGACCCGGCCAGAGGCTGCTGATGAAGGGATTCCTACTGTCGGCGCACCGCTGGTATGTGGGGGTCTGAGCGGCTCCGACAGAAAAAAATATTGAAGGCAGGATAATAATCTGAATGAACTGACGGCACTGATTACGTTTTCAAATGTATTTTCTCACTTAAACACATATTAAAACTAGTTTATTCCCACTGATCACAGCAAATATAGCTGCAAGGCAGAGAAAGGATAGTGAAGCTCCGTCCAACGCGCGTCAGACACACTTTTGCAGCCAGAGCAGCAAAGCTGCTTCAGCCACTCGTCAGAACTAACTGGTACAAGCAGCAAAAATGAAGCAGCAGACACGATTTTGCTGCTTTTGCTGCGTGAACGTAGCATAACTGCACAAAAATCGCCACTGTGCTAGCAACGAGAATGCTTTTAACTGGGGGCGTGTAGCAGTTCTCGCCGTAAAGCAAGACTGACTCTCGCGAGACTTCTGAGCCTGTGGGTGCGGGTCGGTGCTCCTGCAATTGCAAGTGCGGTTTTTCCCCCACAGACCACCAGGGCGGCCGAGAATACCTTTGTTCAACATGAAATGACTCATTTAATCATCCAAAACGATATGGAACACATTAATTAACTGAAAAATGTTGCATAGTGTGCCTTTAAAATTATATGGACACACCACCCTTACCGCCCAAAACGAGTGCAAGCGATAGAAATGGGAGAGGCCTTACTGTCTTTAACTTTGCTGCACATCTAAGTAACCTGGTCTAGTGCTTCTGTCTTGATTTTATTTTTATTTCCCAAACAGACTTATGGCAAAAAAAAAATCTTGTTGAAATTAACAGCCATTTACTATATTTATTTCTTTTGTTTTTCTTTTATCCTATTAAATGTTAATACAGCTATTAAAATGAAAACAAGCAACTAGAATCAATACAATCAATTGCTAGAATTGATTTCAGTTCTTCGTTGCACAAGAAAGAACCCCTGGTCAAGCGCATTTATGTTTAGCTTTATCTCTTATCCAGATAGAGCCATTGATAAATCTGTTAATGCCACTAACTTCACATTTTGTGTTTTGTTTTGGGGCTTTTTCTTTTATACCATAGAAAGTACTCCTTTCCCAGTGCTTTGACAGTATTCTGTCTGTCTATTCTTGTCCTCTTAACTCGCGGTCACACCAGATGGCAGCTCACACACACTGCTTAGTTCTTGGATTGTACTGTATTATAATTAGGCTCATTTTATTAGAGAACAGCACAGAAATAAGTTGGAGAGATCCAAATTGAAGACGGAGCGAACAGGATGTTTTTTCACTGAATCTTTGCCTTTTAACGTGGCATAGGTGACATTTGTGAGATACAGTATTGCTGCAATATAGATTAAAAATAAATTTAATTTAAGTATTTATAAATGTCTATTTAGTATCTCAGCACCTGCACAAGAATATAGCAATAATCCAGTGAGTCCTCTGTCTTGTTCCTTGTGATAAGAGACTCACTGAGCTATTATATGATGTCATCACAATCCATACACCAATAAGAATACAACAGGAGCTGTTTTTTGTTTTTTTGTCTTTCTTCTACTCAGGCAGTGACTGACAGTTTGAGCTATCATGGAAGGAGAAAAAATAAATGAACAGCGCCTTTCATTTTCAGTATGATAAAATCATTTAGAAAAAAAGCTGACAGCTGGATTTTACACAAAGAGTAGGGCGAGCAGTAGTGGAATGGGGTCCAAACATGTTTAATGTGTAGTAAGTGACTTTGGATTCTGCTTTCAGTAGAAACATCTGGCTGTTGCTGCTGTTACCACCATGACCACCTCCCCATCCTCTCCCCTCCCTCCCTCTGCCAGCACTCACCTCCTCCAGCAGGTAGATGGTGTTCCTGCAGTTGATCATCTTGGAGGTGAAGGAGGAGGTGGTAGGAGAGCTCCAGTCCTCTTGAACCTCCTGCACGAACTCCGACACCGACACACACTCCGGCATGGTGATCATGCAAAGCCCGGCGCACAAAAGGGCAGAAGCGGGACAGGCGGGCGCAGAATGGGGCTGATGGAGAAAAGGTGGAGAGCAGGCGCAGTCAATTCAATTAATTAATTAATATGTTAAATGATCTGCAATACTGGGACAGATTCAAACGCCCTCTTCATTCTGGTTTGCAAAACTAAGTGATAATTAAGGAGGACGCTTTTTTCTTTTTTTAATAAAGGACCTACTCAGTTCTCCTGCCTCAGTGTGAACCAACCGCTGCATCAAACGCCTCTTTTCTGCGAACAAAAGGTGAATCAGTCCAGCTGAGAAAGGATCCAAACACCAAAAACTTCACCAATCTTACCCCTGATGTGATCAAACTAAAACAGCTTATCTGTGGTGAACGTCTCCATTCAGAAAAAAAATTAGAAAAGGGGGGGGAAAAAAATCCACCAAAGCGCTCTGTGCGTGAACCGGCTGACAAAGACCTGGAGGCGAAGTGCGGAGAAGCGGACCAAACGGAACCAGGGTGCCGGTTCGGATAGGAGGGTCGGACTAGTCTCGGCTCTCTCGTCCAGCCTTGCATTCCTGTCTCATCAGCAGCATCTCATTTTTCTTTTCACCGCTTTTGCTCCTTTATTGAACCCGCATGGAGAGGCGCGCTCACGCTTAACAGTGGTGGAGCCCTCTGTCGCGGTGGCGCGCACTGCTGACCGAGCCCATCACTGGTTGAACTGGAAGGGGGGGGGGGGCAAAACTCCTCAGTACAGCCTTGGTTTATTGCATGTTTTCTTTTATAAAGGTGTTTCTCCCTCTGACAAAAAAAAATGGAAATGCATCAAAATCTTTATTTTTATAAACTGGTTCTTAAATAAATCAACTTCTATTGAAATATCTTCATTTTTATTTAAAAACAAATTTCCACATTTATAAAGCAGCTTTTACATGTTTATGATTCTTTTTATTCACCTTCCAAAGAGGCTTTCATTGAATAACAAAACATGAAATATAAAAATCCTAATTTAGAATTCAACTTTATTGTCATTCCATTGTCACAAGTACAGAGCAATGAAATTACTTCTCTGCATTTAACCAATCCCCTTGGGGAGCAGTGGGCTGCCATTGTGCGGCGCCCGATAAGCAGTATGGGGTTAAGGGTCTTGCCTAGGGACCCAGAGTGGCAGTCTGTCTGTGGGAGTGAGAATCAAACTCAGAACCTCAGGATTCCAAGCTCTATGCCCTAACCACTAGGCCGCCACTCCCCATAAATAGTAAATGTAAAGAAGCAAAAACAGCTCAAGATTGTTCTGTTTAACAATTAGGCATCAGGGAAAATACATTACTGTGAAAAAACACAAAGACCACCTGAAAAAAAAAATCTTTCAAATAATTAATAGAAAAGGAAACCAATATCAATATGCTGCTGGAATTCAGGAAAAATCTTTCATTCGAGTGACATCATTTCCTGTAACATCAGAGCCAGCAAGCCAAATTTCTGTCTCAGCATGAATGAGTATTGCCAGTCTCAGAGGAGATAATCAGAACAAACATCCAGAAAGTAAACAAACTATTTGGAGCTTCCTGTTGCACAATTAGACTGGAACAAAGTTCTGATGGTAGAGTCCTGCTTTAAGCTTAATTCTGTTCGCTTTTAGAGAGAAACAAATAAGCAAGAAGATAACAAAGATCTGTCCAGCTGTATGAATGCAACAAAGGTCTGGAGTCTCACACAAACAACATTATTCCTGGAGCTTTTTACGTATTACAGCAAAAAACATTTTTATTTAGGCTGTTATTAGGTAGATCTTTCTGGATTGGCAGAAAATCCTTCATGGTTAAGGTTTTTTTTTACTTTTTTTTACTCAAATGTAGAATAATGAGAATGTGTTTGCTAAGGTGCAGAACGCAGCAAACATGTGGATGAAAAATCTCCACTCAGAGGAGACCAAAACTGGACATTTTGGTCTATGATGTGTTGGCAGCATTATTCTGGGTGTATATTTTACATGAACAGAAACAGACAAGCTGTTCAGAATCGCTAAGGATTTATGTGGCTGAATGGCCGTGTTAAAGTCCAGAGTTAATTCTATTTGAGAATCTGCAACACAAATCTGCAACACTATTCTTCCATTCTAACTAAAGTATCTGCTCATTTTTTGGTCTGCAAAGCTGTCACAGACATAAAGCAGCTGAAAGTTTGAAGGGACCATTGAAGGACCAAATAACATGTTAGCATGATTTCTTTCCTTGAACAGTTAACTGTCAAATGCCAACTAGTGGGACCTGGAGGTATAAGGAGTCAATAAGGGATTAAAATGTCAGTGCTTTCTAAATTCATTTACTTATTTCCAAGTTTCTTCATTTTTGTGCAAGCTATGCATTTTAAGAATTTAGATTTAGTCATCAGACCCTATAGTTCGAAAGGCAAAAGGCCAAAGTTAAGAGAAGAACATTTAGTGGTTCGAGATCCAAGCTTTCTGGAATGATGTTTGTAGAGCGGTCTTTACTCACACTGCAATGACCCAACACCCCCTATTGTTCCTTTTTGGAGTTATTTTTTAAGAACTGGTCTTACCAAAAGGAGCTCACATAGTTATTACCTTTTAAGCATCATCAGGTTTTATAAGTTATTAATCTTGTTATGTTCTTTTTTTTTTTTTTTGCTTGTTAACAAATTCATTATGTACCTTTAAAGTCACTGGTTAAACCTCTATGTCTGGCAGTGTCTGATATAGATTCGTACCATTATTACTAACTAAAAATAATAACTAAAAAGAGTAGAAAATGTCTATTTCATATATAATCAACTAAAGAAGATTCAATTTTTAAAGAGCCCTACCCCCTTTTCTGTTTGTTGGTTAAGGAAAGCTTTAGCAATAACAGATATGACTTTAATTGCATGTTGTTTTTGTTGGTGTATCACATGACAGTTCTGTTAAATGCATTGATGTTCTCACCTGTGACATGAATGAACATGAAAGATTTCACAAAAAATTATAGTTATCCTTTTATGTAAAATTTCCCAAAACAACATGGAAATTTGTTGATAAAAAAAGATAGAGTAACCTTTCAGTTGTCCTTGTCATTTCAAAAGCTGGAGGTCGTCTCTTTAGCTTAACAGTCTTATATGGTGAAGTGGTTTCTCTTTTGTGGAAAACTAATGGGACCCACTCATGAAGGGGGTTCTATTGAAGTACTCATTGAATGAAGATCATGAGAGTTGTTCAGTCATACTGCTTGGGCCCTATAACTGCCATAAATGTTTCTTTTTTTTCCTCAACAATATTTTTTTCATAACAAACTGGAAAACTATTTATTAGGTAAAGATTAATTCATTTCCACCAGTTTTTAAATATTCCCATGCAACCAAAAATAGCATAATCGATTATTGTTCTCCAAAAATTAATCCAAGCCTCCCCTTGACTTTAATCAAATAAAACAGATTACAAGCAAAAGTTAAACTTCTAACCGTAAAGAACAATTTAACTTATCTGATAAACATCTATGTATGTGTTCATAAAAAGTAGCACGCATTTAAATAGACTAATCTTGATTGAAACAAAAATAAATAATTTTAATCGTAAATCAGTGCATCAAATTACAGGTGGGATTTTATTGCAAAGTCCTAATATATTATTAAAATATAGACATGAACAAAAGCAAAACTACTATCATCATTGTAGAGGGAAAATATTTTTCTATATAGTTTTTTTCATAACATCTGAGGTCATCATTGCTTGGTCATTTCTTCTGGTCATAGATTTTTTTCATAGCTAAACGTATCCATAAATATTCTTTGTTAGTATTTTAGTGAAGCCAGGCTAAATATATCAATCTGACCATAAAATCTAAAACCGTTTGAGTCAATTTGCTTAATGTGACAGAAGCCTCTCCCCGATTCTTCATCCGTTAACAATGAGAGAGCTGATTTCTCCTGGCAAAGTGTAGAGAATCAGGACAAGGAAGAGCGTCAGGATGATGAGGATGACCAGAGCTATGATGTATTTCTTGTAGTTCTTCCATATGAGGAAGACAAAGGTCTTCATTGGGTTGAGGAACCAGTTGAAGCTGGTGGTGGGACGGCTGCAAAGACAAGAGGCATTCGTTTCAGTCAGCGAAATTTTAACTGTAAAATCCGAAATTAATACCACTGAAAAGATTTGATTCGGTAGTAGACATGTGTTTCTGTACTCATTATACAATGAAAAACAATTTTCCATAAATCAATTCTAACTGTGAAGAAATTGCAAATTTGTTCATAAATATCTCAATTCATTAAAGAAAACAAAAGGTTGATATGCCTAAAAAATGATGTATGTATAACATTAGCTATTCTCTATACACTGAAAGCCAAGCTTTAGTTGGTAAGGTACTGTATTTTGCAATTTGCATGCATTCAAAAGAACAAAACTCACATCTAAGCTCCAACGCTACCAAGAACATAAAATAGACATACTAATAATTTATTGGGTCAGAGTTTAGATGATAAAAATATCCTAGGTTCTGAAAGCAGTTAATAAAGGCCTCAGGATCAACTAAATGATAAAGAAAAAGCTTTAATTATTAACCAAATAAAGTTAGCTATTAAGATTACATTTATCAAACTCCCCTCCACTCATTTCTCAGACGGCTAGCACTTTTTTATTTCACACAATATGGGAAGGACTAAAATGAGCCTCCATTGGTTTGAGTTTAGTTACATCTGATCATCATGAACAATTATTTTATCAACAGTGAATTTGGATTCTTAGATCTATCTAAGCCACATTAACGGTTTGTGTTTCTATTGTGTTTGATATCTAGTTTATTCACAAAAAGTTTTAAGGATTGGTGTCTTAGTTTTAAGAAAACGTTGCAACTCTTGTTGATCTTTATATGGTTTATTAATGGAAAAACCTCTCATACTTAAACAAGTTGCAGCCCCTTTGAAAAGTGAAGCAACTTCATCACAAATATGATCATCTGGCATTAATATTTATATCATGACCCTGTCCTTGTGCGATGGCAAGTTACTTTGGTTTTTCCAGGGGTTCTGGCTCCTTGCGTCCTCTCCCCACAGGGTTCGCCTCCGCCTGTTCCAAAGCCACCAGCTGAAGCTCCGCCTCCACCTTTCCCTTCATAGAAACGATCGGAGCATTTTAGATGATCAGATATCAGTGTTACAGATGTATTGCATCATCATCAAACATCAGCCATAAGGTCAGTCTGTTGAAGACCTACAGTAGTATCAAGAAAGCTATCAGATGATCACCCCTCTGATTTAAAAATGAAAAATCAGCTCCTCTGTATTCAAGGTCAAATGAATAAGAAAATAAAACACTTATTTTTGCTGCCACCCAAGAAAAAGTAATGATGAGTATTTTTTGTACCATTAACAAGTAAGTGTTGCCCAAACTGTCTGTGTACTGGATGTCTTCTTCTCTCATCTGGCTTCTTTTGTCCTTTGTCTTTTTCTTCTTGTATCCCTTCTTCTTGGCTCTCCGTTTCTCTTTCTCCTCCTTCTCGAAATCCTCAGGCGTCTTCAAGCGGACCAACGGCCACCAACCCTTCATTTTTTTAGCACGAAAGATGGAGAAGCGGGGACTGGCCTGGTCCTTCGCCATTTCAATTGTGCACTTACTGGACGTCTTCGCCGGCCGCACCATGCTGCTTAGAGAAAGCTCTACGGACCCTGAACAAAAAATTAATGAGGCAAAAGATGAGAATATAAGCAGACTGAAACTGATTTTTTCATTAAATTCAAGACTTAATATGTAAAAAATATCTCTTAAGAATTTACAAATGACTGGTTAATACAAACATGTTCCATTACAATCCAAATTCAGTTGATGTTTCTCTCTTTGACAAGCTTTCAGATCAATGTTTTAGCCAAAAAGTTTTGAAGCCAAAATGATTTTTTAGAAGGAAATCTGCATGTTTAAAAAATACAGACACAGATGGCTCTGAATGTTAAGCAGTCTGCTTCAGTAAAGACACAAGTTTCTAATCATTCGTTCCTGTGTGTCTGACGGGGAGGGGAATTAAAAATTATGTAACATATTATGTCACTAATTTATAGAAGTAATTCATGAATCTCTATTGTTTTTTGAGAATAGAAATCAAATCTCTGCATCATGAAATAAATCGCCAAGCTTTTCTGGCCTGTATTGAATTTGACCTGAATTTAAGATTTCCGTAAGGATTTAGGACGCAGGCAGAGGTTTGAAAATGTACATTACTCAATGCCAAAATATCAACATGATATATTTGACATGTCTTGTTATACCTAAAATGTTGAGGAAGTATTTTGTAAAATATCCTACATGCGGGGACTTCAAGGTACATATGGGAACATTCACCTGGGTCCCCATGTGGTAAAGTTCAGTTCTTTGAGTTGGGGTTAGGACTAAGGTGTGAATTCAGTTTAGGTTAGGCTTAGGCGTATGTTTGTTAAAGCTACAGTGTGTAACTTTTAGCTACATCTAGCGGTCAGACTGCAGACTGCAGCAACATGAACATCTCCCCCTCACCGCTTCTCCCCCCCAACAGTACGGCGAGCGTTACGGAACAAAATGTCTTCCACGACGTCTGCATCACCTACCTTCTCAAATGATGAGGTTTGTTTACATAGATAATTTTACAGATAGTATTTCTTTAGTCTGTGTAGGGTATAGATTTCATGTAGACTTAAGATAATAAATATACACGTTATTTTTTTCTTCATCGTTGTGACGTTTTGGCGATCTCGCAATCGCTAGTTTGTTGGCTCTGCGCTGCCGTAGCTCAAAGATGTCTGCCTCCATGGCTGCGAGACCCGCTCCTATGTAATTATAAATAACGAATTCTAAGGCAACGCAAATATTAAGGTTAAGAGGCTGAGCTCGTAGATGGTGATAAATAACATAGTTATGTATAATATATTACATTTCTGACTGTATATCCCTGTAATTATTACACACTGTAGCTTTAATAGGGTTAGGGTTTGGGTTAAGCCATATAATGGCCTGTACTTATATAGCGCTTTTTCAAGTCAGAGGACTTGACCAAAGTGCTTTACACTACATTTAGCCCTTCACCCATTCACACACATGCTGATAGTGGCAAGCTACATTGTAGCCACAGCTGCCCTGGGGCTCACTGACAGAAGCGACGCTGCCGTACACTGGCACCTCCAGTCCTCCAACCACCATCAGTAGGCAGTGCACAACAACACCGAAAGCTGTAGCCATGGCTTGAACCAACAACCCTCTGCTCAAAAGGCAAACTCCTTCAGCCAACTCCACTGTCACCCTATATAAAATCAATGCAAGTCAATGAAATATCCCCATATGTCACGTGTGGAAATTTTTTTAAGAAGTCCAGAAACTCATCGGCTTTGTATTTCTCTTGGAGCAGAATCATTCAGATTTTGTTTGCTGTCTTGCTTTTTGTTAATGTTAAACTCTTGGGAATGTTCTACCTTCATTTATGGATGATTAAGGTGGACAGCAAAGAACATCTGCCTCTTCAGTCTCACCTAGAAAGTCGTTGGCTGAGATGCGATCATAGTCCCACACCTGCAGTGTCAGAACCGCCGGCTGGCGAAACTCAGACTCCTCCAAGGAAAAGATGGACTCCTTCTTTTTATACACCACCTCTTTCTAGAAAGATGGACATGAATTTTATTTCAGCATTTTGAATTTTTCTTAAAATACATATTTTAAAAAGCAAATTAAGATACTTTTGCAACCACTTTGGTTCCAGAATCATCCATATTATCTGTTTGTGACAGAAGGTTGCGCAACATCTTCAGAATCAATCAACCAACATGTATAGTAAATGATCAGTCTGTTTTTGATTGTTAAAGCCAGAGGACTTCAAGATACAAGGAATATACCAGCTTTAAAGTACAGACCTCATGACTTCAAAGCATATACCTCAGTGGGAAGGTAGTCAAATCGGAAAACAAATCTCCAGTTGAAGTTTCCTTCCCCGGTCAGAGAGTTAAAGTGGACATCAGTTTCCTGTTTGTCTCCATCCAACCCTTTTATCCAGCTACAAACAAATAAACAATAAATAAAATTTGCTTATGATTGGTCAGACCATGTAAAGTTGCGCTGACTTTTCCAGGGTTAGGATTAGTTAACTTGAAGGGTAAGTCTAACCCTTTAACATAGATGTCTGAGGATGGGTCGCCTGTGAAAGGGTTGACATCATCCAGAAACACATCATCAGTGTTCCAGATGATCACACGCAGCTCATACCTGTCATTATCAGAGCAAAACACAAACATGAACTATTGTACTACACTTTCAACCCCCTTAAATTTCTTCAAGTTGTGTTTCCTCCTACTGTTCAGGTAGGCGGGGTTTTATATCCACAGCGGGCGGAGCTGGGATATCAGTGGGAAACATGTCCACCCACATATGAAGATAACCCTGCAATGTAAAAATATAAACAAACATTACTGATGGCAGCCATTTACACCATATGCAGCGACTTGCTATTAATTTTGGCCAGTGGATGTTTTTGGACCTGGGGGAGTCCTGGATTGTCCTGGTTCTGCAGAGACCGGATCTCCACATGCTCAGGAACCAGACGAACGGCTCCAGGGAGGAACTCAGTCATCTCCTCCCAGCGCCGCAGCACATGCAGAGATGCGTGCTCCTCTATCTCTGCCTCTTCCTCTGGAGAGCGCTCGTTCTTCTTCAGCAGACCTTAAAACAACAAAGTTTCTATTAGAGCTGCACCAAGCATGATTAGAAATCCAGCTTCTTATATCATCATATGTAACACATTTGTGAGAGAGATGGAAGCATGAAAAAAAGGAAACTATTAAATTCACTGAAAAAGATAGACCTGGGATGACTTGGGTATGAAAAATCTGACACCATCAATAATTCAGCCTTTTTTATCTTTGCAATTAGCCATTGAATTGAAATTTTCCTTGGCACTTACAGCACATGGGAAGCATGATGGAGCCTTGCTTAGGTACCCAGAGAAACCATAGAACATTAGAGACCTTATGGTATTCCCTGTATGCAAAAGTTCAGCTTTCCAGCCATTAGGTCACTTTTATGCTGCTGTCAAAAGTGACTGGGAGCATTTTTGACAGCTACTGAATAATTGCTGAATATCTAGATGGGTAAAAGTAAATTCCAGCTACAGGTCAACTAAAGTACTGTCTCAAGGGGCAAATGGACACCAGACTCCTTAGGTAGTATCCATCCATTTTCCATCACACTTATCCCAAGCAGGATCACTGGTGCCGATCTCCAGGCAAGAGGGGGTTCCACCCTGGACAGGTCACCAGTCCATTGCAGGGCAACACAGAGACAAACAGGACAAACAACCATTCACACCTAAAGAGAATTTAGAGAAGTCATTTAACCTAACAGTCATGTTTTTGGACTGTGGAAGAAAGCCAGAGTACCTGCAGAGAACACATGCACGCTCAGGGAGAACATGCAAACTCCTGTAGAAAGACCCCGGGCCAGGAACCAAACCCGGAACCTTCTTGCTGCAAGACAGCAGTGCTACCCACTGCGACACTGAACAGCCCTCCTTAGATAGTATTCTAGCAAAAATAACTGAAAACCATAAACAAGGTTCAAAAGGTGTGATTACTTTTCAATGCATCATTTCATATGAAACCTCTGGAAGGATAAGCTATGCCTAAACATCATTAAAACATTAGATCTCCTTTCAGCTAGATTACGATGTATTTATTTATTGCATTTTTTTTCTTTAAAAAATCAAGACACAAAGAATAATCTGAATCTGCATCTGGCATAGAGTTGCTTTTAGCTGCCTCTCTCAGATTTAATCTTCAAGTACGTTTGACAATCAGGACCTAAAATCTCTTCTTTACTGACTGATATCTGTCTCTTCTAGTTGTACACTCTTTCTCACCTTCAGGTATTGCGTCTGGAGGTATTTTGAAGATCATGTTGAGGACTTTGACTTCTGATGTTCTGTACTCTGGAGATGGGATGCCGTTCTTCCTGCAGAGCTCAGCCAAGATTGTCGATGGTTTCTTTGCATCACGCCACTTATTGTAACCATCGCTTTGGAGGCAGAAAGAGAGGCACACTTAAAATGATTCACAGACATCTGCAGACTGCATTGCACATGTTTAGTTTTGGTATAAACTTTTTTATCATAACACATACTGTAGGTTGAACATTTTCATGTAATTTCAGTTTAAAAAAAGGACAGTAATTTTGTCAATGAAGGACCACAACGTGAACATATACATATATCTAATATTCACTGCAGTTCTATAGTGGCACAGAATAAATTATTTTGCAACTAGTCAAATTCTTATCATAATGTAATTTGTAATCATAGTTCTAGATAGATAGATAGATAGATAGATAGATAGATAGATAGATAGATAGATAGATAGATAGATAGATAGATAGATAGATAGATAGATAGATAGATAGATAGATAGATAGATAGATAGATAGATAGATAGATAGATAGATAGATAGATAGATAGATAGATAGATAGATAGATAGATAGATAGATGACAGAACAGACAAAACATGATAAGAATGAAAAATTCCCAAAGCAACATTCAAAGACTGATGTTTTAAGGACAAACATGTAATTTCTGTAATGCTAGTTTTACATCTGGATTTCAGAAAAACATGATTTTCTTAAGTAACTCATAAAAAGATGGTGATGTTTATATAGCAGTATTAATACTGGTATTAATATGGCTTAATGCTAACTGTTATAATTACCAGTGTCATTTTTTGAATTACTTTGCAACTTTAGTGTAAAATTTTTTAGTCTTCTCGCCAACATTAGTGTTTTATCATCTATATTTTCTGGGGCACTAATTCCAAGGTGATTTTGAAATACTGAGATACTAATCGACTGAAGAGTTGAAGTGCTGTTGGTGGTCATCTCACTTAAATGGAGAACCTATGCCTTCCTTTGTACTAATGTGCTGCTGATGGTGAGTTGTTGGAGTGCAAACACGATACTACAAAGCGGTACCAACGTGTCATAGTAAAGAGCGAGACCGCAGGAGGCCCGATGGCGGCTGTAGAACCGGTTCTCCAAATCAATTCGAGTCTCTCCAATAACATCATCAGATCCAACCAGATCATGATCCATGACTGTTATGACCAACTCAGTCTCCAGGGGGAAGGACACAGTGAGCTCAAACACCCTGAAATACAGAGGTGGTTTTTCAGACAGGCTTTAAGAGATGAAAGGTGAAAAAAACTGGGAGATTAAAAAAAACAACTTACTCTCCAAAAATCGGGTTGAGCTGTTTGGGGATGTATCTTTCTTTAGAGTCCTGACTCTGATCTCCCACCTTTACAACAATGTAGGGGTCAGCTTTACCGTTAGGGTCGGTGGGAGCCAGGCTGGAGGCCTGTAGGACGACATTGGATTAGTAGTTGTTGAGAAGAAAACAAGCTGGTGGAAAAATAAATAATATGACAAAGGCAAACTTGTTTGTTTTAAATGCAAACTGTGCTTCAGAGAGAGAGAGAGACAAAAACAGCCCACTACCTTCACAATGTAAACTCTGACTAAGACTTTGACAGGTGAATTTTTAGGGACTCCATTAGTGATCTGACATGTGGTGTCATCTCTGTCCTCTGGATCGATGGGATAAACCAGGAAGGAACCCTGTGGAATAGGAGCGGAGACAATAACAAACCTCTTCACAGAAACACAGATATAGATAAACAGAGAGCTGCTTCAAGCTCTACCTTGTATTTTCCCATCAGCCTCTCCTCTTCATCCTCCTCATCATCCTCAGTGATGGCTCGGCCTTTGAACAGGGGGAAAACCTTCAGCCAGTCCTGAAACTCACTGAACTCCGATTCCAGATCGCTTTCATACAGCTGAAGACAAACAGACATTTATTCCAGTTTTCATCTGCTGTCTGTCAGCAGCATCATTTATAAACTCCTAGGATTTTCATTTAAATATTCAGTCTCATACTTAATCCAGATATTTCAGTGTTTATAACATTATCAGAGCATCTTCCATAAACTCTCCAAGTGGGTTTGTTTCACTATGTTCTCAAGGCACCAGTTATGACTGTTTCACTTTTTGTAGCACATGGTTTCTTCAACTAAACGATCCATTAATGTCATTTTTACACCAGCTCTAATTGGCCTGGCTGCACTCAGTGATGAAAACATATATTTAAACATTTCCATTGTTAGTTGTTCAGTACTGACTTTTTTTCAGACCTACTCAGGAGAAGGTATGATCAGAGCCAAAAAAGATCAGTTCTGTAAAAAACAATAATGGTTTCATGATCTTGGCTCTAATGGCTAGGTTTGGCTCCTTTTTAAATTCTGCTTAGCTCCATCCAGCGCTCATTGTCTGTCATTTGATCCACCTGTTCCTGCTTCTATTTAAGCCTGTCTGTTCCCAGCCATTGGTACCAGATTATTTGAGCCTAGTGTGAGAGATTTCTAGCTATTTGTGAGTTTCTGATTTCAGTGATCCTGACTAGTTTCTCTCCCTGGACTTCTGAGTTTTGGCTGCCCCTGTTCTGCTCTTTTGGCTGATCAATTTTCGGACTATTTCCTGGATTCTGCCTGCTAACTGCCTTTGAGCTGTCTTCATACACTGGCTTGGACATCCCTTTGGTGCCTCTTCAGACTTCTGATCTTCTGGCCTGGAAACCTGCTCCTACTACAGCACTGGTTCTGGATTCTCCCTACTGATACTTCTGCTCTTTCACATCTGTTGGCTTCTGCTCATCACCCTGCTCAGCTTCTTTCCATGAACTGTTAAGGCCACACCCTCTGCATGCAGTGGAGAACCAATCAGTCTGGATTCAACTCCTTCATCTAGGCTCAGACTTAACCCATAACCAGGTTAGTGACTTACCTGCCAATTATCGTGGCCCCGTTTTATTTTCATAGTCACTAACTTGAGTTTTCACTTCTACAGAGGATCCAGTGAACCTGTCCCTGCTGTTGAGCCACTGTGTGCAGGGCAAATATTAAATGCTTGTTTTGATAAAAATCTGATCTGTCTGCTTGAGTTCTGGGTTCTATGTTCTGAGCTTCTGACAGATGGAAATGTTTAAAAATCTGGTGTGGTGCAGTGGAACCAAGCCCTGTGGAGCCGGTGGAGAACGGGCAACATATATCTGGAAGCAGTGAACAGTAGTGATCAGCTATCCTCTAGTAGAGGTCAATGTCTTTCTAATGGACATATTTCCAGGCAGCTGTTTCTACATGGAGTTTAAAAATATATTTCTAAGTTTAATATACATATTTGAATGGCTGATAGTTGACTTACCTTCTTTTTGTCTTCTAACTTAGTAATGGTAAAAACAATAATCAAAAACTGTAAATAATTAAAATTTTCTCTGCTAGTAATTTCTATGATGATTATGAGAACAAAATGAAATCCAGATAAAAATTGTATTTACTTAAGCTTTGCCTGATTCATATTAATCCAGTTAAATGTTTTAATCAAAATACTGGAGTGGTGAAAGTCATTTATAGCTCAAAGCAATCTACTCTATTTGTTTTACATACTGAGTAGTTGTTTTCCCACCTTTAATGTGGCAATCTTCTTGCGTTTAGGGGGCTCAATCTCAACATCATCAACCTCTTCCTCCTCTTCTTCAATATTTGCCATGGTCAGATTTACTCCATCTATTGAAAGTCGAAAATGTGTTTAGTCATCTTTAGTCATCTTTTATTCAACTGAGGATAATACATGTTATTGTTAACAAAAATGTCCCTAGTAGGACATATGTACTCACATTACTGGAAGCAATCAAAACTCAACCAAATGATGCATTTTAATTTAGATTTTGTATTTATAGGGAATACGGTTCATTTTAAAACCTAAGTTTTTGCACAACATGCTTTAACCAACCTCTTTCGGGTAATGGGGAAGTGGCTCAAAGGGTTATGTTTCTGATATAAAGTTGGATGATCGAGGAAATAATATCACTAAGTTAACCTGTACCTGTCTCTGCTTCATCCTCCATCTCTTCTCTCTCTGCAGCCTGCAAACATAAAAAGAAAATATTTCTAATTGATTGAAAGATGCATAACTTATCTCTGTTATTCTCATCTGTGTCAGAGATTCATAAATCAATAAAAAGGGAAAGAAAAACGAAAAATGGTAAACCACCCAGAAACTAAGTGTAGCTCTTTTCCAGCAGTGTAAGAGAAAAATAACCATATATTGGGATATTCTGCCTTACTAGAAATATATAGGTGTATAACTATAAACCTTCGATTCCCAGTTCGGGGGCTTTCTGCTTGGAATTTGCATGTTCTCCTCGTGCGTGCATGTGTCTAAATTCTCCTTATGTTATGGTTCTTCCGTTTTGGACTTTGGACTCAGTTTTCAGTTTGCTATGTAATTTTTGTCTTGTTGATCTTTGGTTTATTTTCCATTATATGTTATATTTAAGCAGTCTAGAGTTAATCTCTGTTGCCCTGTTGTGCCTGCCTCCTCTCCCTTAGCTCCCTTCTAGTCACTTCTATCCACACCTGTTCCATATCAGCTGATAACCCTAGTCTTTGTTCTGTCTCCCATATATACTCTCCCTGTGCAGTTCTTGAGTGCTGGTTTCTTCTTGTTGTTACTTGGCTCCCCATGTGTGTTTTCCACTGATGTCTCCTGGTTTTTTTGTTTCCTGCATTTTGTTCTATGATTTTATTTGTTGCATTTTGGATTTAATTAAACCTGCAAGAACTCATCTCTGCCTACCTCATCTCTGAGTCCTAAACCTATATATATATATATATATATATATATATATATATATATATATATATATATATATATATATATATATATATATATATATATATATATATATATATATATATATATATATATATATATATATATATATATATATATATATATACATTTTCCCATTTCACATTTTTCATTCTTGTACTGCTTAGTTTATGCATTTAACATAAACCTCAAATGAAGATTGTGTTTTTAATGCAAGACAATGTTAAAACCACTGAGGTAGTATTGGTATTGGTAAAGGATAGAGGAAGTCCACTTCGATAAATCTGTGTCTCACCTGCTTCTGTTGCTCCTCCACTGAGGCGTAGTACTTGGACCACCAGTCCAGCTCTTCTTTCTCTGGAGCCTCCTCCTCTAGCTCCTCCACCTTCTTTTTCAGCTTTTTCAGTGGAGCCTGAAGGCGGTTATTCATGTAAACCACAAAAAGTCAGCAAGCATGTTTCTTTATCTATTTATGGGCTGTTAGAATATAGCTCAGCTTTCAGGGTTTCATTTTTGTATCCTCATAATCAGAAGGAGATTAATGTACTCACTTTCACTATCTTCATAGGGTTAATAGGAATTTTTGACTGTTTGACTGGTAAACTGCTGAGTCCCATGTTCTTCACTGACGTCAAGGGGTCGACCTTCATTGGATTCTGCCTTACTAGAGATAAGCACATAAAAAAACATCTCTGTAAGAGGCTAAGAGTTATGTGCTATGGAGAAGCATCACTCTTCATCAAATCAGCTTAAAATTTAGCTTCTTAGGAAAGCAAAGGTATGTTTGTAAGTTAGCAGTAAGCAGGGGCAGACAAGGCGTCAGCCGTTTCAGCACTGGACAGTACCACCCCAGGTTAAATTAGGTTCAGCACTGGACAGTGCCTGTGGTGACTGCACAGCAGGGGCAGACAAGTTAATTGTTTTGGCTGAGGGCTTCTGGGGGGCTGCACATCACTCAACCTGTGAAACCTGTCCATCAAATTCTTTCAAATATTTCAGAATTTAACCCTTTGCCATTAGCCAGCACTTCAGACAGGAGCCTAACTCCTTCAACAGCGCCCATACGAGGCTCCTTAGGTTCAGCACTGGACAGGGCCTGTGGTGACTGCACAGCAGTGTCAGACAAGATGCCAGCCATTTCAGCACTGGACAGTACCACCGCAGGTTAAACCAGGTTTAGCACTGGACAGGGCCGGCTCGCAAAGTCCCACCGCTGTACCAGGGCTCCGGCTCGCAAAGTTTTCTAAGTCCCACCGCTGTACCAGGGCTCCGGCTCGCAAAGTTTTCTAAGTCCCACTGCTGTACCAGGGCTCCTGCTCTGAAAGTTTTCTAAGTCCCACTGCTGTACCAGGGCTCCTGCTCTGAAAGTTTTCTAAGTCCCACTGCTGTACCAGGGCTCCTGCTCTGAAATTTTTCTAAGTCCCACCGCTGTACCAGGACACCCAGGTTAAATCAGGTTAAGCACTGGACAGGGCCTGTGGTGACTGCACCGCAGGGGCGACAAGGCGCCAGCCATTTCAGCACTGGACAGTACCACCCCAGGTTTAATCAGGTTCAGCACTGGACAGGGCCTGTGGTAGAGTCCTGCACGGGTCGAGTTTTACCAACCTGCACCCGCCCGAACCCGTTAGGATGACTACCGAACCCGACCCGTCACCCGCGGATATCTTCAATTCAAATCCGAACCCGACCCGACCCGTTGATATTTAACCCGCAACCCGACCCGTTAACACATCAAGTAATAGGCTATAGTACGCTGCGCTGCAGAAAAGCGCCATTAACACTGCAGCAGACGTGTCTGCACTGACTGTGGCCTTTTTGGAGGGAAGCCCACAGTGCCGGCAGGGCTTTAAGCTACAACAAGGGCGACCCCAGTGCCTGATTAATATAACATTTCTGATGTCCATAACAACACATGCATTAAAAAAAAATCACCAATTACGACGTCAATATTCATCTGTACAATAGTGGCTAATCACTGCTCGGAGTGGCAGTGATTACTGAATTGTTTCAATTATTGATTTATCCAATTTACTGCTATCAGCTTTTAAATTCTAGTTTCTGTTATGTTTTTCTTTTGCTATTCAGTTTTGCTTTGCTCTTTGTTTTATAGGTTTTCTTATTTTGTTGTGTTCCTGGGGTTTTTCTTAGTAACTGTCTCAGTCTTGGTACTGTTATATTTTCTTTTTAATGTTCAGTTTTGCTTTACTCCTTGTTTTCTAGTGTTAGTGTTTTTATTTTTATTTTGCTGTGTTCTCTGGTTTATTCTTAGTTACTGTTTCAGTCTTGGCTCTGTTATGTTTTTGTTTTGAGTGTTCCGTTTTGCTTTACTCCATGTTTTATAGTCTTAGTGGTTTAATTCTTATTTTGTTTTTTTCTGGTTCTAAGGTTTTTATTTGTTGCCCTCTGCTGCCCTCTTAAGTTCTCCTTTTTTTCTTTAGCTCCTTTCTTGTTTCTGCTCTGCTCACACCTGCTCCTAATCTGCTCGTTAACCCTCTCTTTGTGTCAGTCTCCTACAAATACTCTGTCTGTTCTGTTCTTCTTTGCTGGGTCCTCGTCTAACCTCCTCCTACTCCGTCTCTCTGAGCCTTCCTCTTCTAGATTGAATCCCCCCTGATGTCTCCATGGTTTCTGGTTAGTTTTTTTACTTTGTTTTCATGTTTTGATTTTGTGGATTTTGGATATTTGGACTCCTGGTTTTCAGTTTGTTTGGACTTAGTTTTTCATGTTTGGATTTTTTGATTTCCAGCCTCTGTTTTCTGTTAACCTTCATTAAACCCACAAGTAAATCACCCCTGCCTCACTGCCTCTGCAATTTGGTTAATCTATCCACTACCAAATCTTGACAACTATACAGTTGGATCTAGCTTGCTTTGCATCTTTTAGCATTTCTAATGCTGTTACCTTTTGGTTTTGGTTCATCTTCTTCCTCCTCCTCCTCCCCTCCACATTCACGTGGAGCATAGTTCATGAGGTTCTGCACAACATGTGAGCCAACCAGGGCAAGGTGACCGAAGGCCCGATGCTCCACCACAAACACTGTCAGAGGAGGGTGGAGGTATGACTGCTCTGGAAGCTCCTGATAAAACCAAAGAAAGAAACTAGTTTTTTGTACATTTCTAGCTCTGGGAACCTCCAGCTTACAGACCTCCATTATAAACAGGTGAGAAAAATAAGATGTAGAACAAGAACATCATAAAAAAATCATCATTAACCCCAATGACCTTTTAAAATGTTTATAATTTAATGATATATATAGAAAAATAAATACAGACCACATCAAAGTAGCGGACCACTTCCTTAAAGTTAGGGTTGCTCTTGTAGCTCTGGATCTCCTCAGATTCCAGCTGCTGTCCTGCACACTCCACCCTCACCTGTGGGCGCTCCACCTCAAACAGCTGCACCCGCTTCAGCTCCCGTAGACCCCAGAACAGCACCTGAAAACATAAAACATGAGGTATCCAACGTTGCTCATCTGTGAACATTTAAACCCCCTGTGGGACCTAGAGAGCTTCACCTCGATCCTGAAGGTCTTCAGAACAGGTCGGACTCCCTCTGGGATGACATAACATCTCTGCTCCTCGTTGTAGGTCAGCTCCTGGGGATCCACACTAACGGGGAGGCGGGGCTTCAAGGAAGGGAGACGCACAACAGGTGAATAATCCTAATGATGATCTTATTTAATGTCAGTAGTTCTAATTATATAAATTCAGACTCATCTTAATCTGACCATAATAAACTATGTCTGCTGGAGTGGACAGACATCATGCTACCTCACTGAACGCCCTCAGTACATGCGGCTGCAGGGCTGTCAGTCAGAGGTGGCAGTATGCACCACCAGCCCCCCCATCCATCATAAACAACACCTTCTACCCTCTGCACCAGACTGTAGAGGAGCTCAGCAGCTCCTTTAGTAAAAGACTTTTACACCCTGTCTGTAAAACGGAGCGCTACCGCAGGACATTCTTTCCTGCTGCCATCAGACTCTACAATGCGACACTACAACGGCAATAAGTTGTTCAATGTATAATATGCAATTACTATTTGATAACCTGTGCAATAACCTGTTTATATTTAACACCCAGTGCAATAACTAAATATATAAAAATAAATATAAATATCCATCTATATAAATACCCATGTAAACACCCTGTGCAATAACCCGGTATAAGAATCCTACTAAAAAAAGCTGGACGCACTGTATATACTGTATTGTATATATCAACCTCAACCTCCATTTTCATCCTTTGGCAAATTCTTCTTCTTTGACTATTTGAGCTGATGTAACAAGTAAATTTCTCCACTGTGAGATCAATAAAGTCAATAAATCAATATGAAAATGGTTTTAAAACAAATTAAGTGTAAAAGATATAATGGACCCCATCAAGTAAAGCTCTAACTTGAGCGCATTATTTGTATTGCATGAGAGCCATATAGTTCAATTTCAGTCTCATCTGACCAGAGGAATCTCTTTCATTTGTTTGCTGTCTCTCCAACATCACTGCTGTGAATTGTTAAAGGGAATTTCTATGGCGTTCTTTCAACAATGTATTTTTTCCACTCTTCATTAAGGGATGGGATTATGGAGCATGGAGAATATGGTTTCAGGTCAACAGATTCTCCTATCTAAGCTATGGATGTCTGCAGATCCACGGTTATCCAGAGCCTCTTGGCTGCAGATCTGATTAAAGCTCTCATTGCTATCCTTGGCATTTAAGGCAGACAGTCAAGTCAAGGTAGCTTTGCAGAGGTGCCATATTTGTTTTAAGATGATGTTTTAGTCAGTGCTCTTTAGGGTTTTCAAAGCTCCTTTCTGCTAAAGTCCTTTTTATTAAATACAACTTGTTGGGTGATTTGCAGTAGCTGAAACCTGTTGGTCTGCTGAGGAGATTTTGCCAAAACTGTCGCAGCTGTTCAAAGCTCGATATATTGTTAATTGTCCTTTCTTCACAATCTAATATCTGATCTGTCTCTTATATTCCTTGATTTTAAAGATTGATCTGTTCACTAATTAGTTTAATACCAAAGGCAGCTGTTTGAAGTTGATTTATTGAAATAAATAAGAAACAAATCTTTATTTTCATTAGGAAATCATGATATTTTGAAGAGACTCCCAAAATATAATGTCTAGAGTACACAAACAGCAAATGAATAAAAACATGAAATGTTAAGCACTCTTAGAAAAAATGTAAAAATGCCATAGAAGATATGAACCATATTCAGGAGAAAAATAAAAATATATAACAGTAACATGTAGTTTTTAGATAAAGTGCAATGTGTTTCAGAGCACTCAATTGAATAAACTGATGTTCTCTTTGTTTGACAGCAGGGGTCAGAGTGCATATGAAGGGACACATAGGGGGTGGTAGAGTCAGCGTGGTTACTGATGCACATCGCAAAATATAAGGGGAAATAAAGATCAAGCATAGTCTAAGTGATTTATTTGGTCTCACCTCTCCAAAAGCAGAGTAGTCGAGCTCAATGAGCTCAAAAGCAGCCAGCAGCATTCCAGCAGGAACCCTCCCTCTGATGACATTATGGAAGCGAAGTTTGGGCTTTTCGTAGAACTGCTCCACAGTTTTAAACTCAGGCTCTGCATAAGCTCGACCCAGAGGCTTCGGACTGCCCTGCACAAACACAGGGATCCACAACTTGCTTGAAATCAAGTCTTTACTCTGCTGAGCCATTCTTGTTTAATTAAATTTAATACATTAATCACTGCAGACTTTAAAACTAATTAATGCAACCCTATTAAACATAACTCATTTCATTTTTTTCTTTATTGGAATTTTGCACCAAAAAAAAAAAAATTCATTATTAATCGGAAAGCACCTGTTTAACCCACAGGTGTCAAACTGATTCCAGAAAGGGCCTTGTGGCTGCAAGTTTTCTTTCCAACCAAACAATAGCAGACCAGACTCCATTCATATCATCGAGTCATCATGCTCAGATTGGACTCTCTTGATGAGAGTTGAATTGAGTCTGGTGTGCTATTGTTTTGATGGAAAGAAAACCTGCAGCCACACCGCCCTTTCTGGAACCAATTTGACACCCATGGTATAGAACAGATCAAAATATAAAGAATGAAACTTCAGAAGAAGAGATTCATAGATTTACCACTGCGTCATGGTCATAGATGTCGATGATGATAAGAGGAGGGTCTTGTTGAAATTGCTCCTTCGTTCCCTCGAGGAGAACTCTGTCAAACAACAAACACTCACACCAGGAAGGGGAGAGTGTGTCTGGACACACCTGTGCAAAGTTGTACAGACAGAATTCAGGTCAATGTGCACTGGAACAATCTGGACTTTGAAAGCAGTAGAGCAAGAGAACATACCTTGGTGACCTGGCACTGTGTAGAGAAGATCACCTTTGCAAAAGGGTCTGACAGGCCATCATCATCTGCAGCCATAAGGCCACGGCCCTGGTAGAGGTGACACCGTAGCTGGAAGTACCTGTAGTCTGAAAAGAGAAATATTTAAAAGGTTTTCTTGAAACAGACTTTTGATCAATAAGAACGTTTCAATTAACTTAAATCAGTGGACTCACCCTGGCAGGACAGACTGACAGGAAACTTTCTTCTTTCCTCCACAGGAAGGTGTTGTCTCTCCGTCTCCTCCTCCTCCTCTTCCTCATATATAGGCATGAACTCCTCTGGCAGGCTGTTGATCACTTCTTTACTGTACTTTACAAGACCCAGCCACAGGTACACCTCCAGCTTTGCAAAGGTTTCACTAGGTGAGCATCCTGGAGACTATAAGATTGAAGAATAAATCACTTAACCTTCACCACAATAAGCAGACACAGAATAATGATTTAGGATAGAAACCATAAAGCTTTATGTAAAACGACTGACATCTTGCATATCAGTTTAACCTGCTGTACTCTGTGAGGTGAGCCAAGCCAAATGGAAACATGAACAGATCTCCAAAATCCCTCTCTTTACTGATAACAGTCAGCCAACATACCAAGACTCTAAATCAGAGGGGAAACTCCAGGCCTCAAATGCCAGGGGCAGTGATTGGATTATTAAAGGCACTCTGGAGAAAGTGACTGTATACTGAGTAATAATAATTGAACTTTATTGATCTCACATTGGTAAATTTACCTCTGCATTTAACCCATCCCATTAGGGAGCAGTGGGCTGCCGTGGTGGGGTGCCTGGGGTGCAGTGTGGGGTTAAGTGTTTTGCTCACAGACTCATAGTGGCCTTCTATGGGAGTGGGGCTTGAACTCAGAACCTCAGGATTCCAGGCTCTATGCCCTAACCACTAGGCCGCCACTGTCCATAGAAAATTCAGACATTCGATTCAGAGATCAAGGACAAATCTAAATGCTGCAGGATACCAGCCCTCAAGGACTATAGTTACCCACATTGCTCTACAGCCTGAATTTAATTTTGTTTGGTAGCATTTATAGTTTAAAAACAAGTTCCTCTACAGCCACAGCCTTAACACCAATGCTTAGGACTTACTTGCGAACTCTCAAACACACCAACACCATCACAAAACACTAAAACTTTTTTTCAAAGTGACATATTTGCCATAATGACCTTCATGTAGAGAGTGGTGATGTGGCCACAGTCCCGCCCTTTCTGCTCCTCCACCAATGAGAAGAGGATGGAGTGGGAGGGAATCCTCACGTAAGCCAACCGTTTGCTTCCATTTAGCATCCAGAGAAAAACATCAGGGATGGTGCTCTGAGGCTAGAGGCAGAGATGTCAGAACTCGGTCAAATAATGCGCCATTCCTTTAATTGTTTACAGTTTTTAACACATTTTTGTGTATCCTAACCTCTACCGCCAGTTGGCGAAGCTTCTTTAGGATTTTCCGGCTTTCCTGCAAGTGCTCCTTGGTTTTGTTTCTGGTAATTCGCCGCCTGGCTCTCACTGCCTGTCTGGCTAATAGAACCTATAACCAGTCAAAGAGTCCGTTAGAAACTTGCAGTGGCCTTGTTTAAAAACAGAAACATATCTGAAAACAGACTGACCAAATTCTTTTTGATAAACTCCCTCCTGCATTTATCCAGGCTGTTGGGACGGGACTGAGATCTCCTGTCTGAAAAAGCACTAAACTGTCTGCAGAGCAAGAGATGTAAATAGAAGAGTCCAAACAAACAATCAACCCAATTATAATCGGAAACTCACTTGCAACAAGTCACCAGCTCTAGTAACACCTCGATCAGACTCTCTTTTGCTTTACTCTTCGGCCTCTGCAAGTCCATTTCCACCTTATTGAGACCAATCTCCTAAAAGACAGAAGAAGAGCTTCAGAAACAATGAAGGATTTATTCGAAGCAATTTCTGAGAAACAATTTAATTAAATAGATGCCCACAAGCCTGTCAGCCATCTTGCTTAACCAGTTGGCCTGATAGAGACGAAAGCTGTGATCTTCAAACTGACTCCAGACATACAGACAAGGCTTTAGATTTGTTGTTGGGGGCTGGAGTGGAATACACTTAAAGGACCTGAAAACAAGGAAAGAGACATTCATAGAGGATCAGACAGTATTCCATAAAGTAGTGGGATTTAACTTTAATAGTCATCGCCCATTTATGGGACGTTCTAAATACTTTAAATACTTTACTTGGTAAAAAAAAAAAAAAAAAAGAGCAAACATTTCTCTAGAGCTTGTGCTGACTGCTGCTTATTGTACATTTCAGCTAACAATATGATAACAAGACATTCAGCAACAAGGTTCTGGGTTCAAATGTCCCCCTTTGGTTTTGTGAATGGAGTTTGCATGTTTTCTCCATGCATTACTGAATGTCTGGCTTGCTTGGATTCCTCCCTCAATCCAAAAATATGATCATTAGATTAAGCTCCCACCAAATCACCCATAGTTCTGACTTACTCTGTGGATGGTTGGTTCTTCCATATTTCCAAATGTTGCATTGTGGACAATGGACAATAATGCCTTATAAGTTTCTTATCAGAAATGTTATTGGTTGAGTATTTCATTCAAGCTTTTTTGGTCTATTTCTGTGAACCACAATAAAAAGCAGCAGCATCACTTATATACTTTCACTGCTTTAATGCATTCTTTTTTTTCCACTGGTATTTTACTGTTTTAAATGAGTTTCTGCATTAATAGAAGTATTACAGGCTGATTTTTGATTCAGTTGCAGTTATATCTTACTATAGGTTTTGAAATTGGTCGGTTTTACAAGTTGCTCTAAAATATCTACTAAACACCTTACCAGCTAGGCCATGAAATCGACCCTTTGGTTAGAGGGTAAAGAGTAGAGAAGATGTGTTGTGAAGCCATGTTTTATGTCTTGGTGCTTCTCAAATTGATTTTAAAAAAGTTAATGATACAGAACAGCAGCCACTGTACAGCATTAAGTCTACTTTAGGTTTCTCTTTCTGAAGAAAACGTCTGAATATGATGATGCATGGATCATATCTTCTGAAATGCTAAAGTGGAAAACTTAATTGACAGCACATTTCTTATAACCTTTACCTGAGAACCACAACTGTGTAAAATACCTTTTTCAAGTTAAAGTATAAGTGATTCATGAAGCTTAATCATTTTTAGAGCACTTCCTGAACAAGGAATTAAACATATCTTTTCATTGGGCAGATCTATAGGAATCATCTGCTGAATTAATGTCTAACCACTAACCCGTCATATTCGGTGGGCTGAGGTCTCATGGGAGAAGACACAGATCTGTTCTTGGGTTCAGGATTCGTCATCTCCTCTCTGTCCAACTCATCCTCTGATTCCAACAGACCATGAGTTTCCTCCATCAGATCTTCTCTGCTCCTCCTCAGCTCCTCCCTGCTCTGGCTTTTCTTTGACTTCCCAATTCCCATTGCCTTCCCATAATTTCCTGCAAATACAAAAACAGATCGGGAGTTTCGACCATTTGTTCCACGTTTTGGAAAAGTTATACCAATGTGATGTTGATTTGTTCATTCTTTTTCCTCCCCATTCTTCTGAGATTGGGGTTGAGGAAGAGGAAAGAAGGAAACAAATGTAACAATAAATACCGTAGTTGGGATAATCAAATAAAGGGGTAGGGTTTTAGAGTTCTACATGACAAACTGAATAGAGTATAAGACTGTACCACCTTTTGTGAACATAGGAGATGCATATTCTTCATGTTGTCCCTTAATTAAAAATGTGAATAGAAAAAAAAAAAATTGACAGATTTCTGGCGTTTGAGGCCAATATCGTCTAAAATGCATATTCAGTGAAAATTAAAATCTATACCACAAAAACTGACAAAAAAAATGACAGAAAGTAGATTGTTATGACATTTATTTCTTACCAAAATAATTGTTAGTTTTGCAATTAACTAACAGAAATCAGTTTTAATATGTAGAAGTCTTTAGGAGGTTAATGTATTGGTAATAAAAAGCATACTATACAACATTTACCAATAGAGAGTTCAAAGGTCAGAGGTTTGGTTCCTACTGTCGGGTCAATCATTGTGACTTCAAACAGAGATGCAAAAAGCAGAAACTCTTCCTTCTGCCCCAGATAACCCTGAGTGAAAAAAAACTATATTTATTGTACAGTAACAGAATTTGCTCAATTTCTACTGAACATCCAGAATACAGATAGAATTAAATAAAATCTCAACATTAAAATGACAGGGGAAAAAAATTATATAATTTTTTTAATTAGCAGTGAAGATGATGAAAGCTAAAAAGATTAAAAAATTATAATTTTGTATAAATTTAGAGTTTATGTTTTAATCTTAATTATTCTGTAAAGTGTAGATTTAAATAAACTTTGTCTTTTAACGGCTACTCTCTTTCAAGGCAAATAATTAAAATGGATGGGTGAGAGAAACTACTTTGCATTAAACATTTAATCAAATAAGCATTTTTCAAATATTTAATGATGTGTTTTTATTATCTAATATCAAATATCTATTAACAATATTTGACTGATTCAACCCTGATAATAATGATGGTACGGCTACCTTTCTAAACCATACTGACCTCAGGCAGAGGATGGATCTCCTTAACCTCCACAGTCACAGACTCTGGTACCTCAACTCCCGCCTCTTCAGACTCATCAGCTAATTCGATTGTAGCTGAAGCGGCTTTGGCAGCAAAAAGTACAAAATATATATATATATTTTTTTTTTCTGATTTGCTCCTTTTTAGCCAATGAAGATGAAAATAACAGTGTTAAAGCAATAGCTAAATTAGTTTGTAGCCAAGGTACATTATCATCATTGAATATACAACTGTCAAATATCTTATTTAATCTAACCTTCCTTCTTTTCCTTCTTGCTCCGTTTTTTCTGCTTTCTTCCAAACTTACCCAGTGCCCCTTTCACCTTAAAGAGTCCAAACAATAAAGTTACAGTTAATAAGGCATTTATTTATTATCACACTGTCTTGTGAGAACTACCTTCCCGGCTGCAATAGAGCCAGTATCTGTGGGGATTGCAGAGGGAGAGGAATAAACATCCATGGAGAGGGCCAGGAGGAGTCGACCTCGATAGAAGATTCCTTCACCCAAACCCTCATTCAAGGCCTGAAAAATTAATCAAACTTAAACCTTCTTCCTGTTTTCCTTCATAAGATAGCTGAAGAAAAGTAGGCTTTTCATTACACATATGCCCTAAAATACCTTCATGAAAACTTAGCTCATTTTTAAAGATGGAGCCATTGTTTTTTAGTTATTTCTGAAATACGCTATTATGTAAAAATAAGACTATGGAGTTGGTGGTTTCACTTTAATTAAGTAAGATAAACCATTTACATTTGCAGTAAATGGTTAGTTCATCTAAATGTACTTTACTTTTATTTTTGCAATGTCTTTCTGTGACACACTTTGGTCCTCCTGGTGTTGCTGTAAAGTGCAATATAAATAAACTTTGATTAAATTTGATTTGATTTACCTGATGGATGTCTCCCAGGGTGGAGTTTTGAGAAGAGCCATAAAGATTAACCCAGTTTGGACCAAAGGTTGGGTTAAACCCTGCATGGGGAAGTTAGAAAAAAACAGGGGTGTTAAAATGTTAATGAACATGACATTATAACAATCGCCTTTCTTTTTTTGTTGTTTCTATGTTATGGAAGAGGTTTAGGAAATAAAACAGTTAACTGATTTTTCATTTTAATGAGTTTAATATGGGAAAAAAGTCAAAATTCTGACTTTAATCTCAGAATTCTGAGATTAAAATCAGAATTTTTTTGAAGAAAGTCAGAACTCTGTGGAAAAAAGTCAGAATTCTGAGATTACAGTCAGAATTCTCAAAACTCTGACTTTTAAACTATTGATTCAAAATCTAATTCAAAATCATGTAGCTCTTTTTTTGTTTTTCCATTGGCCCTTATTTCTCTTCCGTACTTTGTTATATCATGCATACACACATATCTTTAAAATGCAATATAACTTTTACAAAAGACTAGGTATCGATCATAATAGTAAAAATAAGCATTAGATGTTCCCCCTCCCCATTATGCACCATGATAGATCCTAAAATGTTTCAGCAGTCAGCAGGCACAAAGCTTCAGAGGTAATGATTAGGATTATTTACTATCAGGTGGCAACATAACTGGATCCTTGGTACTGCATGGAGGAGCTGAGTAGCAGCAGGGAGTAGAAAGTAAAGGAAGATGTGTTTCAAACTGCAGTTCGGATGAAGAAATGTATTATTTACTGTAAAACAGCAGTCCTGCTTTAATATATAACAGTTTACTGTGGAGAAAAAGGAGCATGAGTAAGAAAAGGAAAAATGTTAACAGATGAATCAGGGTTTGAGAAATCATTTAACAAAAGTTACACCACAATGAACCAAAGTTATCAGGAAAATGGAAAACAGCAGACACATTTTCCATGGATAAATACGCATACACTAATATGGCTTTGTTGGAGTTTTCAACTTTTCATGGTCTTCTCAGTGTGTAAAGGTTGAGAGATGCTTTGAGCACTCTTCCAGCTTCATACCGTTTCTGGTGGGGTCAGATATTTGCTGAAGGTCCAGGAAGTGAGTTGCCAAAGCTGTGTCTCCCATCTTGGCATCATCAAGGAGTTGGATTTTGATTCGCTGAGCCAGAGGAGGAAACTGCTCAATAAAGGAGATCTCTTCATTCCATACAGGGTAGCTGGTGGCACTGGCAACTGACGTTTCACCCTAAAATGAAGAAACCGAAAGATAAATATTCAAAACGGAGCTAAAACAATGTAACCCATCAAAAGCCTAAAGTGTTATTCATGGTTAAAGCTGCTTTGTCTTATAAAGTCAAACAAGAGATATTACTACATTTGTATTTTCTATTTGTTTACCTGCTGTCCAGCGAAGGTCACCTGTACGTAGGGGTCAATGAAGACCGCTCTGTCACTGACAGACATTTTGGCCATCAGTCCTGCTTCCATGGTTGGCAGACCCTCGGCTCTGTAGATTCGGACACGAAACCGAGCCCACGGACGCTCAGACGGCATGCCGCGAGGAAGCAACAGATGTCTTTATAAAACCACATCCAGAAAAATAATAATAAATGAATTCATATTAACCAGGCTCATTTTTGACAGAGAAGATTGATTACTTTTTTAAAATTTATTTGGTCTTTGAAAAACAAGACATAGACATTCAGAAATAACTGCCTATTTTATAATATTACATTAATGATTTTGCTTCTAATACATTCACATCTAATGCAATGTGAGCATCAAAAAAGCATCTGCTGCTTCCTTTTTGATGCCTGTCCACATTAAGGTCTGATGCACCTCAAGAGCATGTTTGTTGTTTGCTCCTAAGGCGCGTCCAGTAAAGTGTGTCCAGATGCGTCTGATGCTTCTGCTGCTCCTGTGTTCAATGGCAGAGAGTGGCTTCGCTACATTTGCTGTTATTCGTGGGTAAAAAGTAGTTTTGATATGTTTTCAAGTGAGAAAGTCCACCTCAAAACATCATCTGTGTAGTCAGTTCATCAAAATTACAATCCTAAATTACAATTTCCAGTGCTCTGGCACTGGAAATCCCCTTCAATGGCAGCCTCTTTCACGGTCGCCTCTTCTGGGTTTTTCACTAATATTAGTGGCGGCTGAAAGGCGGCTTAATCCAAACAGTAGGTACCAGAATAATAAAAGTGAACATATTTTGACATTTTAAGTTAAATTAGGCGTTAATAAACTGTTTCAGAGGAGTGATAAACCAGCTGTTTTTGCTGTTTTAATCGCGTGTGGTCTGAACATAGCATTAGACATCAAAGTATCTTCCCTGAGTTACTGAATATAACTATCAGTTATTATAGTAAAATGTGTCGTAATTCTTTTTCATTTTTCAACTGAAAAGTAACATAATGATTGATGATAGAGGCAGCAGATTGACAAAGAAAAGAAAACGGCCTGGAACATAATCCTGAGGGATTATTAAAAAAGGACTAAACACTGAAATTAAAAAAAGGAGTGATAGTGACCAGTACTGACCAAGATGGACAGAGAAAGAACTAATATTCTGGTGCCTGTAAAGTTGTGACTGCTAAACAATGAATACACCATTGCGAACAACAAAATCTCTTTTGCATTTTCTAATCTTAATAAAGTAATAAACACTGTTTTTTGCTGACTTTTCAATGTCTTCACTGCTTCCAGACGAGGTGTTGGATGGAAAACCGGACATACGATGAGGGTCTCCCTTCATCAGCACACTAAGGCTGGCCTGGACATACCCCTTCACTCCTGACCGGGTGTCTGTTGGGTCAGTGAGAGGAGCCCACTTCTGGTAGAAACGATGGTCTGGAGAAGCAGAGGGATGATGAATCATCACTGCAGAGGATTACATACGGTCTGAGGTGGAGTTATTTGTTAAGAGCTGTTAGCTGTACTCTACCTGGCTGACTGTAAACAGTGGAGATATCAATCTTAAAGGTCCCAATGTGTGACATCAGGAAGGCCAGAGTCCGTCTGTGGAACACCTGACAGGAGATAAACCAAGCAATCGCGATGGCCATTCTGCATCTTAAAAGTATAATAAATAGATAAATAAAATAGGAACCTTTATCTCTATGACTTTGTCAAGGAAGATTTGTTGAGCCTCCTGAAACTCAAACTGGAAATTCTAGAAAACGGGAAATTAAGAAAACAAGAAAAAACTTTAGTTTGCTCAATCTTTGCACATGTCGACATACTGAAAACACCTAATATCCAAAGTTAGGTATAATGGGGAATCCTTGATGCAGTGGACCTTTTCTTTCTCAATTACCTTTAAAAATTGTTAAGGAGAGTTACATCATACACCTTTTAGAAAGTTGATGCAAGGAGATTTTCACTTCAGATCTTTCAGCAGGATAATTATCCAAAAGCTGTGGTTAATTAAAAAAACTCAGCTTTCTCCTTGGTCTAAAACACGTGGCAATATCAGTGAGTGACCCGAATCCTCTGGAAAACCTGCGGCTGGGCTAAAGCAAAAAGAGCTAAAGAGGGGCACTGCTCAGTACGATATGCTGTAGCGTTGCAGTCTCTCTGCTTAACTGAATTAACCTGGAGTGAGATTTTTAAACAAAAGTTTAAAGTATAAAATCTGCACACAAACATAAATATATCATTAGAACTGCAAATATGATAAATTCAGAAGAATCAATAAATGGAAAAAATAGTCATTTGAATACAGAACAATGAATAGATATATCACTATACAAAGCTCTCTATGAAGCATCACTCTCCTTTTTTCCACGCATTACTATGCAAACAGATTTCTACACCAGAAGTTCAGTTTTCTGCTGAACTCTCAGTGACTTACCTCATTGTAGAATGGGCAGTTGGTGGATTTCTGTGTTGCTGTGTGTTTTTTCTGACCTCCAACACTGATAAAAACTGCAGGATTAATATTTACGCCGACGAGCTTCTGAGCCTCTAGGATGTTCACATTCACCTAGATCCACAAACAGTCAAACAAACAGTCGAGGAGTTTAACTCCATAAACTTTGGGAGAGCCTGAGAGAACGTTATGAATATTGTATATTGGGTTAACCTTATGTTGGCTGTATAGGGAGTTATAAAGCAACTGAACCCACCTGAAAGCTCTGGACTCTGGGCATCGCTGCAACAGTAGTTCTAGACAGCGGTCTCCAACGGCTGCAAACACAGAGAAAATCAGTGCGTTTGTCCTCTGAGGGGTTAGAGACAGAAAGGAGCACCAACCGACCTTAGGAGAGATGTGAATATGATATCAGAGATCTCCATCTCCACAAGGTCATCATCATAATCATAATCTTCATCATCCTCGTCTTCATCCCCTGTCCGAATTAGGCTCTGACCGAGACGACGAGCATCTCTCTCCATTTGATTGGTGCGAGCCAACAAGGAACCTCTAAAGAAATGAAAAAAGGAAGATTCACTTTTAGTCAGTGACTTTGCTACAGAATGCAGTAAAAGCAGAAATGCACAACTGTTATGAGCAGTGTTTAAAATGTAAAGTCAATGCTGGAAATTGTCAGCTTTATCTGTTTAATCCTGAATCAGAAAAACTGTTATCAATACAACAAAAAGTGAAAATATCTGCATAGGTTATAATAGCTGTGAAGATTGAAAGAGGGAAGAACTTAAACAGAAGAAAAAGTGTTTGACACTGTTACACACTGGCCCAAGACATTTTCCAGTCTTTCTTGAATATTTTTTATGTCTCGTGCCCTTCTAATTTCAGACTGTATTCCATCTCAGTGGGATTTCATGTAATAGAACCACCACAAAACACAACTTTAAATTCAATTCAAAAAACTTTATTAACATTCAGATATAAATAAAAGAGGTGGGTGTGTTTTTCAGTGTTTAGTCCTGTTTCCCTACAGGCTCAGCTTTTACTCTTACTGGCTGTATGTGCTCTCTTTCATCTTTTGTTGACAAACCTTAAGGGAAATTTAACTTTTTTTGTAACCTATCTTGTGCAAATAAATTGCAACATGATCCAACATGCTGCCACTTTAAGCAAAGCAGTTATCAATATTTGTGAAGTGAAATAAGAAAAGGAATTACACAAAAACAAAGAAAAGTGTGGCACTTTTTCAGTTGCCACATTTATATCACATAAACACGCTTTGATCTAATCTGGCAGTGTCCAACTCAGTCTTTAAGGTCCAGCGTCTGACATGTTTTAGATGTTTTTCTTGGCCTAAAAAACCTGCATCGAATAAACTGTTTACTAGGAGGCCTCTGCAAACCTGATGACAAGCAGCAGAGAAAATTCAGCTGTTTAAAGCAGCTTATTGAAGCTGGTAACATCTAAAACATGCATGTTCTTCAACAATAGAATTAAAAGTTAATGTTAATCAATTCTCTCTAATAAAGTCATGAAAGCAGACTGAATTTAATTACTTATATTATTGATGGCATAAGAGCAGGAGGAAGCTCAAAACAAATTAATGGCACACTTATTATTTTTTATCCATTTTACTTTTTATTTTAATTATCTGTTTTTGGGGGTCGGTCTGGTGAATAAAAGCATCACAAAAAGTAAAAATATTTTAGGTGATCTGAATACTTTAGTATAGTACCATAGCTGTAATGGGATACTCTATATTCTGGCTGCTGAACTTAAGCAAACTGAAAGAAAAAAAAAATGGCTTGTTGCTGCAACAACGAAGAAATAAATGAATGTGCGGCTTCTGTAAAGTCTCACCTCTCAATATCATCGAATCCATCATTCCTGATGACCAGTGCTGACCTGTGAATGAATAGAAAATCTATAAAAGAAAGATTAAAACCATCCTGCTGCCTTGCAGTGTGGCTTCATGTGAACTCTCATAAATATCTCTTTCCAGACACCCAGAGAGGCAATCTTTTTCTTTTAGTGTTTGTGAAAGCTAAACCAAACATTGTGCAGGAGGAGCGCTTCCAGATATCTATTATTTAGTTATTGTGCAACAACAGTTTCTGCGCTTTGTGATCTTTTCTGGTCAGGAGGGTTTTCCCCATAGAAGTCTCTCATGGATCCTTTATTTTCTCAATATCTTTATCTTTTTGAACAACAAAGATAGATATTAACAGAATGTTCTGGGTGTTTTTATGACAATCAAACATTTATTCCAGGATTATTTATGATAGGATGTGACAGGATTTATCACTGTTACATATTTTTCTTATTTGTGGACTTTTTCAACAAAAGTCCAGGTTGCTTCAAAGCTTTATATAAATAAAAGGGTCTAAAAATTAGCTTTTTCAATTTTGTTGAGTTTATCTTTGTCTGATATAAAACTCAACAATTAAAAAACAACTGAAGAAATCTGCAAAGGTGCACGTATTTTTCTTATAACTGTACTTATTGTTTGTTTCTAAGTTAAAAGTGTTAAGATGATCTTACTCATCACTGTCTTCAACTTCCAGGAAGTTGTTTCCATCCCAGTGTCCAACAGCTCCCTCCAATGGGTGGAAGCGAATCTCCAGCTCTATAATAATCTACAGACATACAGTAGAGATTAATGAAGCAGCTGCTACCAAACCCAAGACCCTTAAAGGGAATGTTAATGGTTTTCTCACATCAGTCAGGGTATAGCTGGCATCGGTCAGACGCTCCCGAAGCGTCAACCTGCCAGAGGTAACGACATGCTGGAGACTGATAACTAGCTGACCGAGCAGTCTGCAAACAAATAAGTCATCATCATTTAAAACAAATCCTCCCATATAATGCAATATCAACAGTTCAATGTTTGTAGCCTATTTATTGTTAAAATTTCTTCATAGATTCTTTTTTAATCAGGTTGATATTGTATCAGTAATCAGTGCGTTAAGTAAGGAGAACCAACATCCCTTGTCAATAAATGCTAATTTATGTGTATGTTTGTGTTTGAGTGTTTTTACCTGTTGGAAAAGAATTTGCTGCAGTTGTAAACGCTGACAGAAAACAGTTCCTCTGTGATCTCTTTGCCATAATGAGGCCAACGGAAATGCTGCATGCAAAGAATTACACTGATTAAAGCTTTTGGAAAAGATTTGAACGGGTTAATAAATCCCTGGTTCTATCTAACTGCGCCACAGCTTCAACCTCCAAACTAAAACTATACATTACAGGAGAGATGGAGAAAAAGTCAGGAGGTCAACCACCAAAAGTGAAATAATCCCATTTATCAACAAGCACTTCTTTCAAAATTGCCAAGATCTAAAGTCAACAAAGATGATTAAGGATGTTTTTCTCCAAGCCTGGATTTTTATCACTGCAAAGTCAAGCAAAGGTTAAATAGATAAACTACAATATGTTAGTTATATTAAGTAGGATCTATAAGTAGGATCTTTAGCAATCACAGCAAATAAAATAGCATATGTTGAAATTAGAAACTCTTGAGCCATACTTGTTTGTAAAATCTGAGAAAGATTTAAACCTTTCATATATGTTCATATATAAGACTCTTGATCATTTTTTAGTTGTATCACACCAGGGGAAAATTGTAACCTTAAACCAGAGGCTAAATCCTCTTCTCTGCCTACATCTCCTAGAATATTATTAATTTATGTGGTACTGGATAGGATTTCAGAAAAAATATATTGTAGAACTTTTTATCAGATAAATTCCATATTGATGTTGATCAGGTGTCAATCATTATATAAATGTTATTGTTTATTTCAGGTTCTAGTTCTCACACTGTACAGAAATTAGAAACACATCTACTCAATCTGTGTTTATTGTTTTTTTTTTTTTTTTTTTTTCTGTGTTCATGTTTGAAAATCAAATCATAGCATTTTATTTTAGGACAGTTTTTTTGCTTTGATGTGGCATTTTTTTTTCTGTACACAAGTTGTTCACATCAAACAAAAAAAAAAACAAATATATTATTTAGACATAAACGGCAAAAAAAATAAATAAAATAAAATAAGGTGGAACAGCCTGTGTTGGAATATGTACAATTTTTTGTCATTCTTGGAAGTTATGCATATCTTTGACCATCTAAAAGCAAACCACAGCTTTGTATGCAATATTTGCTTAATCTGCCTTACAAGAGCTCCTCAAATATATCTGACTCTGACTGTGAGGAGATCTAATTTTCAAAGAAGCTCTCTTCAGCTGAACCCACAGACTTTCTGTCAGATGAAGCTCTGGCCTGTAGATGTAGGCCACTGCAGAGCTGGAGTTATCTTTTGCTGCAGCTTATTTCATTAGATGATTTAGAAACATCGCTGTACCTTCTATAAGACTGAAGTAACTTCAGGCAAAGTTAGGGGGTCACAAGAGGCTGGTATTTTTAACTCTCTATGATATATTTCACCTTTAAAGACAAACAGTCATTAGAGCTGGACAGACTGAGACTGTCAGGATTAGGTGGAGGTTTGTGGACCCAAATGCAGAGGCAGGGAGGCAGAGGTGAGTTTTTTGTAGATTTAATGTGAGGTAATAAACAACTGAGGCAGGAATCCAAAAATCCAACAAGAAAAAAGTTAAACAACCAGGAACCACCAGGGGAAAACAATCATGACGTGGTAAAACACGGAAAGACGGAAGGGGTTGAAGTTTGACGAGGAACCAGCACTGAGGAACTGCATAAGGAGTGTATTTATGGGAGACTGAACAAAGAGAGGACTAATGAGCAGATTGGGAGCAGGTGTAATCAGAGCAGACAGGAAAGGAGCTAGGAAAAAAGGAGGACACAAGAGGGCAGCAGAGGGCAACAAATAAAAACCTGAAGACTCAAAAATAACCAGAAAACATAATAAAATAAGAATTAAACCGCTAAAACCAGAGAACGTGGAGCAAAGTAAAACTGAAAAATCAAAAGGAAACATAACAGAACCAGAATTGTGACAGAGTTGAGAGTTTAATGCTAAGTTCCTTTGAAGATGTCTGTTTTTGTGTGTGCAAAAACCATTTAGGACTTACACTCAACCGTTCCACTTAGGTAAAAACTCTTTGCTATTTTAGTAAGAACTGGATTTTGTCTTACTCCAGACTCTTGGTGAATTTAGCTCGGAGTCCTTCTTTCCAGTAAAACAAGATAAAAATATATGCTTGTATGTTTTTCTTAAAAAAAAACCAAACAAACAGAAATTTAAAAACAGAAAATGTCAGATCTGAATGAGAAAGAAAAACTTCTTTTTTCTTTACTTTGGACAACTTCCAGAACAATCATTAACTTCCATGTGTGAGAGGAAGACGCGCACACAAACACAAACCTGGTACCACCTAAAGAACAAACACTTGACTCAGTAGCAAAGAAATATTACTTAGGATCCATTCCTCACATCTAATCACGTCACACAGAGGCTACATGACTTACTGTAAGCTGTCTTCATATCAACAAACAGGAGACGGGAGAAAGAAATGGGCAGCGGCCGCAGTTCAACAAATATTGCCTCAGGTCATAAAGTTTAAATGTTTGTTTTTAAGAAACCAGACAATCAGACTCATGTCCTTCTCTGAATAACATCATTAAATTGTAAAATTTGCTAAATAAATAAATTGTTGTAGTAACCCGGAGGTTTATTTGTGTTTCTTTGGCCAGAGACTATGTCTGCAAATATGATTTTGTTTAAAAAATAAAAATAAAAATTCAGACAGGATGGTAATGGTAAAAGGAGTAGGTGCAGAGCTGAGGAGGAATCATGGATCAAACTCGTCTTACAGCAAACCCAGAAACAGAAAACACATAAATAGATTTATGAACTAAAACATCCTGACCACTTATAAACACAATGGGACATTTATATCCCCACCATGTGGATTTCTCTTCTACAAGACTCTCTATCATGGAAAAAAAAATATTTTCTGTGTACTTTGCAAGTCAAAGGATATCATAAAAAAGTCTAGAATTATTTCTCTGTAGAGAATAGATGTTTATTTTATTCTGTATTCATTCTGAAAATGATTGTTGAACCATGTTATCAAAAATGTTAAAGGTAGGTATGATTGTATTTGAGTTTTTACCTGCGCACTTCAGGAGGGTTATATATTTATATATCTGTAGTGACCCCCATAAAAATGTATACACTGCATATATATATATATATATATATATATACACATACATACATACATACATACATACATACATACATACATACATACATACATACATACATACATACATACATACAGCTAAATGAATAATTACCGGTAAGAATTTGGTACAGTGATGTAATGTGTTCAAATGTGAACTTGGACACAGTTTGGCAAATACCCATAAACACGTATTTGGAAAGACCCTATTTTATCTAAACAGAGTAACTACAGCTCATTATAAAATCCTTTACTCATCTTCAAACTTTTGACCACTTTTTTATGTCAAAAAAACAAACCTCAGAATTTAAATGTGATTTATATGTGGTCCATACCATCTCAGGAGGAGCTGCAGAGATCCAAGCCTCTGTTCTTTTTTTTTTAATTATTATTATTATTTTTATGGATTTCAAGACAATAAGAAAGCCATTGTTGGAGAAAAACCTATAAGAACTCAAAATGGAATTTGCTACCATGAAGGAAAAAAAGCAACCATGCAGAAGAAGGTGAGATAAAAATCTGGGTTAATATTAAGTAAGACTTGTTGGCCCAGCATTGTCTTCCATGCTACTAATGTAATGTCTTGTTTGGCTTCTATTTGTGTATAAAATGGTTTTCAGGTAAACCTGAATTTAATAAGACATTTATTTTTGTTTCTAGAAATTGGACAGTTCCTCTTTTCAAGTGATGTTCAGCAACCCTAGCTATTGTGCTCCATGTAAGATGCTCTGTGTGGAGAAAAAATATTCCTGCACACACAAATAACCCCACCATCCCTACCGGCGGACGGGGATTGGTACAGGTGCTGGTCATAAAATTAGAATATCATGAAAAAGTAGATTGATTTCAGTAATTCCATTTAAAAAGTGAAACTTGTATATTATATTCATACATTACATACAAACTCATATATTTCAGATGTTTATTTTGTTTAATTTTGATGATTACAAATGACAACAAATGAAAATCTGAAAATTAGAATATTGTGAAAAGGTTCAAAATTGATGGCCCCTGGTGCCACACTCTAATCAGCTAATTAACTCAAACCACCTGCAAAAGCCTTTAAATGGTCTTTCAGTCTAGTTCTATAGGCTACACAATCATGGGGAAGACTGCTGACTTGACAGTTGTCCAAAAGACGACCATCGACACCTTGCACAAGGAGGGCAAGACACAAAAGGTCATCGCTAAAGAGGCTGGCTGTTCACAGAGCTCAGTGTCCAAGCACATTAATAGAGAGGCGAAGGGAAGGAAAAGATGTGGTCGAAAAAAGTGTACAAGCAAGAGAGATAACCGCACCCTGGAGAGGATTGTGAAACAAAACCCCTTCAAAAATGTGGGGGAGATTCACAAAGAGTGGACTGCAGCTGGAGTGAGTGCTTCAAGAACCACCACACACAGACGTATGAAAGACATGGGTTTCTGCTGTCGCATTCCTTGTGTCAAGCCACTCTTGAACCACAGGCAGCGTCAGAAGCGTCTTGCCTGGGCTAAAGAGAAACAGGACTGGACTGCTGGTGAGTGGTCCAAAGTCATGTTCTCTGATGAAAGTAAATTTTGCATTTCCTTTGGAAATCAAGGTCCCAGAGTCTGGAGGAAAAGAAGAGAGGCACTTCATCCACGTTGCTTGAAGTCCAGTGTAAAGTTTCCACAGTCAGTGATGGTTTGGGGTGCCATGTCATCTGCTGGTGTTGGTCCATTGTGTTTTCTGAGGTCCAGGGTCAACGCAGCCACATACCAGGAAGTTTTAGAGCACTTCATGCTTCCTGCAGCTGACCAACTTTTTGGAGATGCAGATTTCATTTTCCAACAGGACTTGGCACCTGCACACAGTGCCAAAGCTACCAGTACCTGGTTGAAGGACCATGGTATCCCTGTTCTTAATTGGCCAGCAAACTCTCCTGACCTTAACCCCATAGAAAATCTATGGGGTATTGTGAAGAAGAAGATGCAATACACCAGACCCAACAATTCAGAAGAGCTAAAAGCCACTATTAGAGCAACCTGGGCTATCATAACACCTGAGCAGTGCCACAGACTGATCGACTCCATGCCACGCCGCATTGCTGCAGTAATACAGGCCAAAGGAGGCCCAACTAAATACTGAGTGCTGTACATGCTCATACTTTTCATGTTCATACTTTTCAGTTGGCCAACATTTCTATAAATCCTTTGTTTTTATTGGTCTTCAGTAATATTCTAATTTTCTGATATGATGAATTTGAGATTTTCATTTGTTGTCATTTGTAATCATCAAAATTAAACAAAATAAACATCTGAAATATATGAGTTTGTATGTAATGTATGAATATAATATACAAGTTTCACTTTTTAAATGGAATTACTGAAATCAATCTACTTTTTCATGATATTCTAATTTTATGACCAGCACCTGTATTTATGCTGGATTTTCTTCTGCAAGAGCAGGGAAGCTGTCCGGAGTTGATGTGAAGCTGGATTAAGTTAAACACAGGTCCAGCTTAAAGGAACACTTTTAATTAGCTGCAAAAGACTTCTAATTGGAGTAGACCATCCAGCAGGACAACGATTTTAAACACAGATAGAGCTGTTAGGTGTCTGTAGAGATACAACCAGAGCAGTAGGTTTGGTCTACCAAGAGTTGATCTAGAAATAAGGTTCTTGACTCAGCAGCTTTAGCATGCATACCGACCTCATTGAAGATGGCGATATTCTCACATTGCAGGGCTCTGGTTTTATGGGTAAAACCTGGAGGATGGATAGATTGAACTGGTTACAACAGCAACAATAGTTTTTAGCCCCTCTGTTTATTATCTGGTCAATGGGATTCAAACAAAGCTATTAACTAAAATAAAGGCCTGAAATCAGTGGACCATTTTAAATTAAAATAACCATTTACATCATAGTATAGTAATGTTAAATTAAAATATATTAAAAGCATGTATGTGATTAAAACTGAGATTTGTATATAATTTTCTCTTTTTTTAAATAGGGGAACAATAAAACCCAGAAATAATCACTGTGTAATTCAGCCATGAGACTGGGATCAAACTTATTTGTGTATAATGCTGAAATGTAGTGAAATGGAACCAAATCTAAACAGTTATATATTAAGCATCATGAAGACAGAAAGACGATTACCTCTGAAGGAGAGTTCAACCTTTCTGTCAGAACGTCCCGGCAGGTTGGAGATCCTCCTCAGATCCACACTGATGGACATGATGGCCTTCACCTGTCTGATCTCCTGTTGGGCTTCCTAGCATCAGGGCTGCATATTTTAACTCTCCTCTCTTCAGTGTTGTTGGAAACTAACCCAGTCTGCCCTCTGAGTGTAAGCTCGTTAAAGTGTGTCGTTGGGCAGGTCTTTCTAATGTTTGATAAAGCAAATAGTGGCTCAACTCGTTTCCTCCTCGTACGTACAAACAGACAGGCCAAGTGGAACAAAAAGGAACTTTTAAACCTTTATTCAACCAAAACTAACTCGTTGTGACTTAACTAATGTATTGTGTGTCTATATATATGAATTCCATATCAAGATCCATATATTCCATAACACTGTAATGCTGTTAGTTACACTTTCAAACTAAAACATTTAAAAGTCTCTGAAATTAGATTGCAACATCAGCAAATCTATTGGACACATTAGCTTTTTTATGACCTGCTGCTACTGGATCAGAGACTGTTCTTTGAAGGGTCAGACTTTAAGCCACAACATTGGCACTCCACAGGGTTGTGTACTTAGCCCCCTGTTGTACACCCTTTTCACCTATCAGTTGGTTTATTTGATTGTTATTGCTTTTATCATCTCATCTTGTGCTTTTCTTTGTTTTTATTCAGTCATGCAATGTTGGCTGCTCTACAGTATTTGAAAGAGATTTGAAGTTTCTGATTGACTGATTAAGCAACCACATTAACATGGCTGTCCAATTTGCCAATGAAACCACCGTGGCTGGATTCACCTCTACTGGAAATACAAACAGTGCAGGGACGACTCCACCTGGATGATGGAAGGATAACACCTTGATCATCAACACCTCTGCATTCACAGAGGTGTTCATCACCATCAAATGAGATTATAGCCAGCTTCAAGTTTCTGGTTGAGAACATGCATGTAGACTTTAAATGGAGCTCTAACACCTCAATAATCATGCAGATTGTCTCTATTTTTAAAAAAGAGCTCAAATAAAGGCAAGAGCTGCTACCATGATGGCTGAGCTGGGTGTACTAACTTACTGCATCTTCTGTGTGCAAGCTGCTCCACAGGAGCTTATCAACCCCACCAGGATGATCATTAACTACCCTCTACCTTCTCTAAGCGACCTCTCAGCGTTCTGAGGGACTGAACACACCCAACACAAATATTTAAGCCACTGGCATCATGGGTGGGTTTGCAGAACTCTGAGGTCCCACAGTAACATGAAGGACCAGCGAAAGTTTTTACTATAATGAAATAACTAATCATTGCTTTATTCCTTTGAATTAGGCCACAGGCAGAAATATACACCTGTAATTTATAAAGTGTCTTTTATGTTTTTTAGTGACATGAATTAACTATTTATGCATTTGTTTTAATCTGCATACAATAAAATTTTTAAGAGTTTATGTAAATTATTTAAACTTTTTAAAATATATTGTCTTTTTTCAGTTTTCTGTAGGTTTATCTGAAATGATTTATTGAAGAACATTTCTATTATAATCTAGTTTTCTAAACAATGCCAGACTTCAGTTCTAAAACTAAACTGTGAACTTAAATAAAGGTCTGAAGTTTAACTAAAGGATGTGTTCAATAAATCTTCCTGTGGAGAATATATTCACATAATCTGTTTGCATTTCTGGGGGAAAATAGGTCCCCAAGTTTGGTTGTTTCTTCAAAAACAAGAGTGTATAATAAATCTTGGAGGAAATATTTGCTTAAAAACTTTTTTTTTTTTTTCTGTTACGTTCATAAATATGCTCAGTCAACTCATACTTTGAGATGCTTTGAAGCCAAACAAAAAACTTAAAATTTTCATTTTTGAAAGGATAAAAAGTCAGAAACTTCAAGTAGAAATTCAATTCATATCTAAATGAATCAGGAGGGTAAATTGTTTTTAAATACATATTATATAATGGATTCAGCTATTTTAAGGATTTTTATTGAACATTTATAGATATACATTTCAATAAAACCCATTATTCAGTCCCTCAAGAGGAACTTCGCTCATTTAGTATTGTACATTTCCTTAAAACCTGGACTGAATAAGAGGCTTTTGAAGATAATAAAGTTATTGGATTCATTTAACTCGCTTTGATCAATAAATGGACACGTAAATAAATCTTTGTTTACCAAATATATTTTATTTATTTATGCTAACATGCAGCGTTTTAACAGACAACTGATTTTCTATAATGTTCAGTTTACACTGGAGCGTTTGGTCAATGATGCAGAAATCAGACTGGAAGACAAATAACAAGCTGTAAAGATTTTAACAGAAAACCTTTTACTTAATAGGAATCCAGCATCACAACATCTAGAGATCATCATCAAGATTGCATTGAAAAAGTAGCAGATAAACAGCTTTTATGATTTCCAAGACACCGTGTGAGTTTTTACAAGGAGTCAAAGCAGCAGCCCTACAGCTGAATGCAGGCACATATGTAAGCATGAGAGATTAAGGCATAAAACTGGCTTCCAGTAAAAGGAGACAGATAAATCTTAGCTTAAAGTGGCTCATGACGCTGACAGATGTTAATACTAAAGATACAGATGATAAGGAACACTGCATACACTCTTCTCTCCTCATCAATAAAAACTATTGTATAAAAATAAAAAGGCACAGGGAAAAGAATATGGCTGCGGATAAAAAGACGATACTTAGCTCAAAGAGAGGAGTTATCTGTCAGTTTGTGTAACAAGCTATTTTTAGCACCATCCCAAAGTCTTTCAGCAAATATTTTGTGAGAATATGACGTTTATTTAATCTGTTCCCAAATATGATCGACTACTCTACACAAGTTACATAAACAATGTTGGAAATAAAAGAAAAAAATATTCTTCTTTCTAACCCAAATGTAAAGAAAATGAATCCAAAGGAAGTGGTGATTTAAAGTAAAACAGGTCTGTAAACATTCCAATAAAGGAACATCCTCCCCTTTGACCATGCTTAAAAATAAAGACAAGAATTTAGTGGTTATCATCATTTTAGCTGCGCTCTACCATACTGATGAGTGTGTTTCACAGTAAAAAAATAATAATTTGACACATTTAACATAATTTAAATCACTTGGGTCTTTTTTTTTTGTGAAACTTTCAAGGAAACAAAGATTCTTTCAGACTGATCTACTGGAATTAATCAGTAAATTAATAACATATGGCACTGATAAAGTACAGCCCTGGACCAAATCCCTGGATCATTTTAATGCTCTGTCAAAATACACACACGAAAAGATAGAATGAAACAATTCACAAAAAAAATGTGGGTTTGATGGTCTGTATCATCTTATTTTATGTTGTATTTTACATATGGCAAATCTGACTATAGGTTTTGGCCCCATTAAAAATAAAAATGCAATCAGATTATAATTACAACTCAGAAATCAATGCAACTTCAGAACTCAGCAAATCAAGCTGACTTTTACCTTCCAGCCATTTGCTGGATCTCTAATCTAAAGCCATGTTGGCTGAGGAGCATCCAACAAGCAGCGCTACATTCTAAAATAAGGCAACAACGAAGTTTTAGGTAAGGCTTCAGGTGCAAAAGATGATTGAATTTGTCATTCCTGATCATATTTCAGCATTTTTGGCAAAAGCAATGTGCAAAGTGTTTGCATGCAGAGCTGGTGAAAGTGCAGAAGTTCCTGGCAATAATTGGAAATGAAAAAGAGTGGTGGAAAAACCTGGTCCTGAAATTCCACAAAGGTCCACTAGAGGGAGATGCAATCAGATGACAGATGTGTTTTCTGTTATGTTTCCCAGATGATACAAGACATGCATAGTTGGTTTGGAAGCAGCACATTTTATGATCTTAGTTATCATTTAAGTGCAAAAGAGAGAACTATGTGGAGCATAAAGCTACTTTAAAAGGAGATTTCCCTCAAAGTTTTCTAATAGGCGTACAGAGTAACTACTGCTTTGTGATTAGTTAAAACTTCATGTTAATTCTTGATGAATGGTTAATTGCGAGCTGCTTCCTACAAAAGTGCTGTAATCTGCAATGCGATTAGACTCGAATTTTCTGTGTAGGTTTGGGGAATGTGAAACTGGATTTAGATAAGCACGGCGGGTGTTTAGGACTTGGGAGCAGGTTGTTGTTTCTGTGGTTCCAGGCCTCTCATTTTGAAGTAAGAAACCAGCTGTTTGGGGACCTCAGCGAGGACAAACTGAGCCAGCGCTGCCATGGGGGCCTGGGCAAAGAAAAACAAGGCTGTCAATGTAAATCCAATCTTTTTTTCTTATAATATAAGCAATTCCACCCAAAAAGAGTTTTCATTTAGTACAAAGCACTGAAAAGGCTCTCTAATCTCAAAATTAGTTTTTTAAAGTCTTATAAAGGTACAAAATCGCAGCAACAAAACAAAACAATTATGATGCTTTTTTGCCTTGACTGCAGAGTTTAGGAGTTGATGCAACCATTTTAAAACCAACTTTAAATGGTGGACAGTGTACAAAGCAAACTAGTGGATCAATGTCAAGGCAAAGTTTCTTAAATACCTTTAAACCCTTTATTATGTAATTTAATAGTAGGTTGGATAACTGAATTTAAATTTCATTAAATTTTTTGATTATCAGAAACATTTCTTATTGTGGTCTAAATACAGTTATCTGACTGGAGCCATAAAGAGAAAGATTAAAACTGTAGTACTACAGAATTACTTTCGCTTTTGACTTTAAATAAAACACACAGAAGGAAAAAATACATACTACTAACTGCACAAAGATCATTTTAAATAGAAAAGTACAATTTTCACTCAAATGTTTGAATTTCAATGGTGCAAAATGGAAAAATTATTAAAACATTTCCTGCCCAAAAATAGGGAATTCCAATTGAGAAAATTGCTATTGACCTCAAAATCCAATATGTCTGCCTTAAAGTTTGTGTTATGCTTAAATCATTGCCTAACAGCAGTAGTAGAAAAGGTGTTTAGCCTTTATTTTCAATGAGCATCACCCTCTTTGTTTCAGGTGAGAACTGAGGCATGTTCAGCTTGTAAGCAGAGACTTACATCTTTGAAATCTCGGAAGGGGACAAACTGGACGATGTCTCTCGATACAGCCTCTCCCACAGTGGACCTGAGGACACCATCGTCTCCATCCAGAAGCTCCA